CTTGTCCCAGGCGCTTTTCCCTACAGCGTCCTCCCTGTGTCTGTAGCTGGACGGTCGCCGGGTGGCCCTGCCCGTGTGGCCTGCACAAGGCCGGGTGAACGTGAGGTCCAGTGGCTCCTTTATCCTCCTCTACACGGACTTTGGGCTTCAAGTTCGCTATGACGGGAACCACCTGGTGGAAGTGACCGTGCCCTCCTCCTACGCTGGCCGGCTCTGCGGGATGTGCGGTGAGTTCCTAGGGCACCTACAGGTGAGGCCGGGGTCATGGGCTGGAGCCTGTCCCGGTCCTGCTCATCCACACATCTGATTAGGCGTCCTTGGTGCTTGTCGACCTCTTACGTGGTTGAAGGTGTCGTGCGCTAGGGTAGGCATGAAGGGAAGCCGAAGATGAAGGAAGAGAAAGGGCTCATCCTGGTTGGTTGCGTGAAGAGGGCGGGATGCTTCTTGGTCCCGGGGCTGAGTTCAAGGCCTCTGCTGACTGCTCTGTCCTGCAGGGAACTTCAACAACAACAGCCTAGATGACAATCTGCAGCCAGATAAAAGGCCTGCAGTCAGCTCCGTGCACCTGGGGGCCTCCTGGAAGCTAAATGAGTTATCTGAAACTGGGTGAGCCAGAACGGGGGCGGGGTGGGGGGGAGCTGGACCAGGGAAGGAGGCTTGGTGGGCAGCCTCGAGGTGTTCCCTGTGCATGCCCAGTCTTTCCTGGAGTTGATGACTGATCTGTCTCTTGGGAAGTCCACCCTGAGATCTAACCTTTTGCTTTCCTGCTGCATCTGCTGACCTGACTACTTGAGGCCATCACTCTCCCGTCCTTATTCCCCTCCCTGTTTCCCTCTCCACTTTTGCTCTGGCTTTTGGAAAGCTTCCTCCAATCCTAAACTCCTGTCCTTTCCCCTTCTCCTCTGTCAGCTGCTTTGCTGCGGGTGGCAAGCCCCCCAGGTGCCTGGGGAAGAAAGTGACAGAGGCCTGGAATAAGAACTGTGATATCTTAATGAACCCTCAGGGTAAGCCACGCAGGGGGCCCCTTTTTGCTCCCCCGGGGGGCAGGAGACAGAGGAGGGGCACTGCGCAGGGAGGGAGGAAGGGTGAGACAGGAAGTAGTGGCCCTCGAGAGGCAGGCAGAGGGAATGCAGAGGCAGAGGCCACCTGGGAACGCTGACGGATCTGTGGGGTTTTTGCATCTCAGGCAGTAGGTTCTCAATAATTACGGGTTTTGATGGAAATGGATGTTGAATTTGCCCCAGAGCAGCCGCGTGGTTCTGCTCCCTCCCCAAGCTTAGTCTCACCTACGTTTCATCCAGGACCCTTCTCCCAGTGCCACGGGGTGGTGGCCCCGCACTCCAGCTTCACCAGTTGCATGTATGGCCAGTGTGGGACCAAGGGCGACGCCTTGACCCTGTGCCGCTCCCTGCAGGCCTACGCGTCCCTGTGCGCCCGCGCAGGCCAGGCCCTCGCCTGGCGGAACAGCACCTTCTGCCGTGAGTGACCTGACAGCCAGGAGGAGTCCCCGGAGCCCTGCCCTCTCTTCCTCTCCCTAAATTCTGCTCCTTCACTCTGCCCTTCGCAGCCCGGCCCCCAGGCCCCACATGGGACCCTCCTCTGTTCCCGCCTCCCCAATCTCTCTGAGCCCAGCCCCCACCCTCTATTGTCTGCCTCTTCTGGGAGCCTCCATCTGATTCTCACTTCACCAAAAAGTTCTGATCTCCCAGGAATTCCCTGGGGGTCCAGTGGTTAGGACTCCGCGCGTCCACTGCAGGGGGCACCGGTTCTATCCCTGGTTCAGATCCCACATGCGGTGGGGCGTGGCCCAAAAAAAAGTTCTGACTGATCTCATTTGGTTACTGCCTCCTTCCCTTCTTCCCTGGGCCAGCTCTGTGACCTTTCTTCTTTCCCAGAAACGCTTTTTTTAAAAACAATTTTAGTAAAACATACAGAACATAAAAATTACCATTGTGACAATTTTTGTGTCCGGTGGCATTAAGCGCATTCACCTCATTGTGCAACCATCACCACCACCGCCCCCAGAACTTTTTCATCTTCCCAAACTGAAACTCTGTCCGCATTAAACACTGTAAGTCCCCATCCCCTCCCCCAGCCCCTGGCAACCACCACCTACTCTCTGTCTTTGTGAATTCGAAGACTCTAGGGACCTCATCTAAGTGGAATCACACGGTATTCGTCTTTTTGTGACTCGCTTATTTCACTTAGCATTATATCCCCAGGGTTCACCATGTTGTAGCAAGTGCCAGAATTCCCTTCTTTTTAAGGCTGAATCATATTCCGTTGTATGATTGGACCCAATTTTGTTTATCCATTCGTCTGATGGACATTCCCAGGAACTCTTTTTTTTTTTTTAAGATATTTTTGATACGGACCATTTTTAAAGTCTTTATTGAATTTGTTACGGTATTGTTTCTGTTTTATGTTTTTGATTTTTTTGGACTCGATGCATGTGGGATCTTAGCTCCCCAACCAGGGATGAAACCCGTACCTCCTGCAGTGGAAGGCAAAGTCTTAACCACTGGACCTCCAGGGAAGTCCCTCCCAGGAACTCTTGATGCCCCAAGGTCAGAGAGCTGAAAATCACTCTTCCTTCCTAAACACCGATTTCTTCTTAGCTCTGAACTGCCCCTTGGGCAGCAGCTACAGCACCTGTGCCAACCCCTGCCCGGCCACCTGCCTCAGCCTGAGCACTCCATCATACTGCCCGTCCTCGCTGCCCTGTGCCGAGGGCTGCGAGTGCCAGAAAGGCCACATCCTGAGTGGGACCTCCTGTGTGCCCCTCAGCCAGTGTGGCTGCACCAGCCAGAGGGGCTCCTACCACCCGGTGAGAGGCCAGACCACAGTGGGTGCCGTGCCCTTCCCAGCTCCCCGAGTTTGGGGGCCAGAGGGCTCAGAGCCTGCAAAGGGGTAGGGTGGGCCAGTGCCTGGGGGCTGAGGGGCAAATCCAGAAGCCAAGAGCCTGAGGAAGGCTAGCGATAGAGGCGGGCAGCCAAGGGCAGCGAGCCTCATGGGGGCCCTGGAGTGCGGGCGGCTCCGACCACCTCTGGCTTCCAAGTTTCTATCGGCTCCACTGATGCCTGCGCCCCACAGGTTGGGGAGAGCTGGTACACGGACAACACCTGCTCCAGGCTCTGCACCTGCTCCGCTCACAACAACATCTCCTGCCTCCAGACCGCCTGCAAGCCTGGCCAGATGTGCGGGTCCCAGGATGGGCTGATACGGTGCCAGGCGGCAGGTAGGCCTCCACTGAGCATGGAGGAGGACCTTCAGCCACCAAGACGAACTCTCCCCAATTCCCCCTCTGTCAAGAAGGGCTCCTCGGGGTTCACTCATGGTTCCCCGTGGCAGCCGTGGACTTAGACGGGATAGTATAAGTCTCTCCCTGGCCGGATGACACCTGCCCCACCTCCTCGTGTCTTGACTCTTTCCTTTGTCTCCTTCCCTTCTGAGGCTCCCTCTCCTCCCATCCTTTCCTTGAGGCAGGGGAGAAGGCCTGTTCTCGCTAGAGGCTGGGCCACTCCTCAGCCACCTGTCTGTCCTCCAGGGATGGGAGAGTGCCGCATCCGCAGCACGTCCCACTACGTGAGCTTTGATGGCAGTTACCATGCGGTCAGGGGCACCTGCACTTACGTCTTGGTGAAAATATGCCACTCCACCATGGACCTGCCTTTCTTCAAGATCAGTGGCAAGAATGGGAGGCGGAAAGACCAACCCCACACTTTGTACCTCCGCCAGGTCCACGTGGACATCTTTAATACCCTGGTCACCCTGAGGAAGGGCCAAGCGCTGGTGAGCGAGGCGGGCGGCGAGGATGTGGGCTCCGGGGGCTCCGGGGGCTCCGGGGGCGGGGCTCTGGTCCTTCCTCCTGCTCACGGGCCCCGCCCTCCTCTGTAGACCAATGGCACACGGGTCACCCTCCCGGCGACCGCCCAGATCCGGGAGTCAGAGTCATTTCCAGGGACGGCTACATCGTGCTCACCATCAACACTGGGGTGCAAGTCAAGTTTGACGGCAGTGGTTTCCTAGCGGTCGAAATCCCCAAAGCCTATTATGAAGAGGTGAGGAAAACACCTGGGTCTCTTCGTAGGGGAGTCAGCCTGCAGGGAGGGGGGCGCCTTTCTCTCAAAGGGGATGCCAACAAAAAATGCCCTCTGCCATCCCTGGCACTGAAGATCCCTCGATCCCCTCTGCCCACCCAGACCTGCGGCACGTGCGGGAACTTCAACGGTGAGGAGGGAGACGAACTATTGACGCCTAATGACGAATTAGCCCTGGATGACGTCATGTATGTGGACAGTTGGCAAGACAAGGAGATCGACCCAAAGTAATTGTCCCCGAAGAATCTCTGCCTTTGCATAGGAACACGAGTTGGGATTCTAGACTGTATGGCCCACCTGGGATGGGAAGACCAGAGTGGTCCTTTGTGCGTGTAACTTGACGGGCAATGGCGTCTGGGTCCCAGGAACCTATATGGGGAAACGAGAAAGTCTTCCTGTCTTGGCTTCGAAACGTGGGAGGAGACCGAGGCCACGTGGAAGGCTGGCCAGAGCTCAGGCCAGCTTGCCGGTGAAGACAGGCAGCGTCTTCAGGGTGTGGTTTGGGAGCGCCAAGTCATTATCAGAGATGAGGCAGTGGCTGTCCCTATGACGACGCCCTTTCCCTTCCCAGTTGCCAAGAAGATGACAAGAAGACTGAAGCAGAACCTCAGGAGAAGCCAAACCCAAACTGCCGGGCAGCTGACCTGGCAAGAGCCCAGGAGCAATGCCAGGCGGCTTTTCAGGCTCCAGCCTGGGCGAAGTGTGCCACCCGCGTGATTCTCAGTCCCTTCCTGCTCAGATGTACCCACAGCCTCTGTGAGTTTGGAGGCATCAACCATGCCCTCTGCCAGTCTCTACAAGCCTTCGGGGCCGCCTGCCAGGCCCAGGGGGTCAAGCCTCCGATCTGGAGAAACAGCAGCTTCTGCCGTGAGTGTGTCTTCGGGCCGCCCCCAAACTGCTCCTAAACCCTCTTTCCGTCTGTGTGTCTCTGAAAGGCTCCCCCATTCTCCATTTCAGTTGTTCCCGACCTATTTCTGACCTCATTTTCTCTGATGTGGACCATTTACAGCAAGCTCTTAGCTAGTGCCCCATACCAACAGGACCGCACGGGCTGCTTGTCAGCAGCTCCTTTCCAAAAGAAATGTGATCATGTTAGGCCCCTGCACGGCTGTTGCCTGCAAGTCCAAGCTCCTCTCTGAGATGTTTGAGAGATCCTGCAAGCTGTGCCCCTCCCCCACCCCCTTTCCTGTGCGCCAGCATCACCCGCCTCAAACCATCCCATTCCCCACACAGGCCTCGCTTTCCCACACCCCTCCCTGCCTTTATACATACCACGCCCTGCACCCGAAAGGTTCTTTCTTCTCCCCTCCTGGCAGACTCTGAGGCATCCTCCTCTAGCTCTTTCCTTTAAAAAACTTTTTTAAAAATTATTATTCACATACCATATTCTTTTACCCTTCAAAAGTATACAGTTGACTGATTTTCAGGACCTTCACAAAGTTGTATAACCAGCACCACTATCTAATTCCAGAACCTTTTATTTTTATTTATTTATTTAGGCTGCGCCGGGTCTTAGTTGCGGCATGCATGTGGGTTCTAGTTCCCTGACCAGGGATCGAACCCCGGGCCCCCTGCGTTGGGAGCGCAAAGTCTTACCCACTGGACCACCAGGGAAGTCCCCAAGAACATTTTAAATTTTAAAACAGTGATTACGGTGTTTTTCCTATGTGATGCATTCCTATGGTTCAAAAACTTTGAAAGTATTAAAAGGTTCCCAGTGAAAAGTCTCCCTCTCGCCCTGACCCCAGGGGCCCAGGTCCCAGCCTGCTCTTTTCAGTGTCTGAGTATTTTTCCAAAAGTCTTTTATTTCTGCACATACAGACAAATGCAAATTTATTTTCTGTATTTTCTTACAAACAGCAGACGGGATACAGTAGTTTGCACTTTATTTTTTTTTCACTTGACAAACTAGCTTGGCGGTCCTTCCCCGTCAGATAGGTAAAGAGTATCCTCATTCTCTTTTGCAGCTGCGTCATAATTCATTTATCATAATTTATTTAACTAGTCTTCTAGCGATGGACTTTCTAGTTGTTTCCAGTCTTTTGCTATTGCAAACAGTGCTGCAAGGATAACCTCATGCAGATACAATTCTCTACGTGTGTGTCTCTTATCTGTGGGATAAATTTGTAGACCTGGGATTGTTGGATCAAGGATTGTGTGGATTTGTGCTTTTGAGAGATGTTGCCAAATGGCCTTCCACAGGGGTTGAGGAATTTACATTCCCACCAGCAACATACAAGAGTGCCCATTTCCCCACAGACTGGCCAACACACAGCATTACCGTGCTTTTGGATTTTTGCCTATCTGATATGTGAAAGATAAAAAGAGTCTTAATTTGTATTTTTCCTATTATGAGTGAAGTTGTGTGTTCTTTCCTATGTTCAGGAGCAATGTGGATTTCCCTTTCTGTGATTTCTTCATACCCATTCACCATTTTTTCCACTGGTTTGTTGGTCTTTGTTGAAATGTTTTATAGATGTCCTTTGTCTACTACAGAGAGTAGCCCTTCATTAGTGCCATGAGTTACAAAAATTTTGTCCAGGTCTCTTTTTTTTCATCTCTCACTGTTTTTTACCATGCAGGAAAAAAATGTATTTGTGAGGCCAAACATAATAGTCTTTGCTTTATGGCTTCTGTAGTTTGAGCCTTAGTTACAAACGGCTTCCCCACTCTGAAGTTAAAAAAGAATTTGCCTATGTTTTGCTCTAGTATTTGTATGGTTTCTTTTTTTTTTATATATATTTAAATGTTTGATCCATGGGGATTTATCCTGGTGTGTAGGATGAGAACTGAATCAACTTTCTGTTTATTTTTTCCCAGTATTATTAAATGACCAGTCTCTCTTTTTCCACTGACTCAGATGCCATGATTTATATTAAATTCCCACACGTATTTGGATCCCTCTCTGGGCCTTTTTCTCCGCTTCCACTGCTCCATTTATCTTCATTTACCAGCGGCACAATGTTGTGGTCATTGAGAGTTTAGATAGTGTTTAGATTTCTGGTAAGGTGAAAAGGGAACCCTCCTATACCGTTGGTGGGAATGTAAATTGATACAGCCACTATGGAGAACAGTACGGAGGCTCCTTAAAAAACTAAAAATAGAATTACCATGTGACCCAGCAATCCCACTACTGGGCACATACCCTGAGAAAACCATAATTCAAAAAGACACATGCACCCCAATGTTCATTGCAGCACTATTTACCATAGCCAGGACATGGAACCAACCTAAATGTGCATTGACAGATGAACGAATAAAGAAGATGTGGAACCCCACGTTCTTTTTTTTTTTTTTTTTTTTTTTGGTTTGTTTTAGAATTTTCCCAGCTTTTCTGCTTTGTTTATATCCTCATTTCCACATTAATATCATCTTGTCCTATTAAAAAACAAAACAAAATCCTGTTGGTGTATTTTTGGGGGATCGTATTAAATGTATAATTAGGGAGGGACTTCCCTGGCAGTCCAGTGGTTAGGATTCTGCGCTTCCATGCGGGGCACAAGTTCGATCCCTGGTCGGGGAACTAAGATCCCACATGGCGCGTGGTGCGGCCAAAAAACTAAATAATAATAATAATTAAATTAACTTAGGGAAGACTGACATCTTCCCATCTGTGAACATTTCCATTTGTTTGCATCTACGTCTACTTAAAGGGCTTTATTTAGCTCCTCCAGCACAGTGGATACCTCCCTGCCCTGTGCTCCTGTCACACCTCGTACATACACACGCCAGTCACATGCTTACTGACCAGATGCACCAGGGTCGCGCTGCTGCGGCTGCTGGCTGACCTCGGATTCCCACGCCGATCGGGGAGAACCATTTTTGCTCTTTTCTGTCCTCGGAGCCAGCACACAGCCCACGCTCAGTCAGTGTTTCCCCCACCCCCACCCCTCCAGCTCTGGACTGCTCCGCCCACAGCGTCTACACCACCTGCGTTCCCTCCTGCCCTCCTTCCTGCTGGGACCCAGAAGGCCAGTGCAAAGGCTCCAGAGTGCCCTCCACCTGCGAGGAGGGCTGTGTCTGTGAGCCCGGCTACGTGCTCAGTGGACAGCAGTGTGTGCCCAGGAGCCAGTGCAGCTGCAGGGACGCCCAGGGCAACTCCCTCCCTGTGAGTGGGGGCAGGAAGTAGGGGTGGGGGCAACACACCTTCGGGATGCCATGTTCTCCTTTCCCATGCCTCTCTCGGCCTGGGCCACCCACGCCTCTACCGCTGGCCCTGGGTGTGAAGGCTGGTGATGGGGCAGGGTGGCCTCCTGCCAGGCCTGGGCTAGAGGGTGCGTGGTTTGGGTTTGGGGACTGAGAAATGCAAACCAAGGGGATGCGGCCGGTGGAGTGGCTTTGATATGAATCCCAATGGTACCACTCACGAGTCAGGGGACCTCTGTGACCTCAGTTTCCTCATCTGTAAGATGGGTTCA